ACACAGACATGCCTTTCATGTCATTAATAATAACTCTTATCTACAGCCATGATGGTCGAATAATCCCTTCAAAATCACAAAAAAAAACTAACTAAGAAATGAAGATACTAACAATACAATTTCGAAATAAACGAAGCAAGTCTGACTTGAGCACATTTCGATCATCCATCTTACAATTCATACTCTTATCATACATTGCTTGATCTTCACACATCGTTTGATAGGAGCTCAAATATAATACCTGGAGGTAACAAGGAGAATACAAACGAGTAGGAACAGATACCGCTAGGCAACATGACAGTACTTCAGCAAATCAAGCATTAGATCAGAATTTTAACACAGATACAGCAAACAGAGCCAAAAAGAGGAACCGCACCAATTTAATAGCCCAGAATGATGTACTACGATTGTCTGAAACCCGTTTTGAATAACCAAATCTCCTAGGCAATATTAAACTCAACCTCAATCTTTCAAGCCCTTGTGAATTCAGCAATCAAAACTACTTTCAGAAGTCAGAAAAATCTCCAAAAGATCATCACCAAACAGATTTCAATAAAAAAAGAAAACACAGGTTTAATATCTCAGAATTCCTAGTTTTTTTTTTTTATTTCTTTCTTGAACATTTTATCTTCTCAGAACTTCTTATAAGACAGTGAACTCTATCACTTGTCTTTTTATCTTCTTTCTCTCATATAATCTCTCTTTCCCCCTACTTCAAGTTAATTTCTCTTGTATTGGCAACTCTTATAATTCTCTCAGATTTACAGAATAGTTAAAAAGCATGCCTTTCAAGGCATACAGAACAACATGGCCTTTATTAGGCATTAAGCATTAGGTTAATCTTCAGGTTTTTAGATTGCAGTTTACTCCCGCCTATTTTTGGTGACTGTGTCCCAAATAATAGTGTCAGAAAATTAAACATAAATATCCCTGCTAGTAGCTTCTATCTTAGAAATTTCTTGGTTATACAGATCTCTAGTCAAACCAACTTACCCCTCGATGCTTTCTTTCAGCATTAATCCACCAAAGGGCTCCTAGCTGTTACATACGACCTATGAGGTTAGCTGACCTAACTTGCATACGAAAGTTCCAAAGCCCTAGACTCCTGGACTCCTTTGAAGCCCCCGAATTGTTCCAAAAGGTCACATACGGCTACAATGGATAAGCCAAGATACTCGAGCATATTAAATCAACGGCAATATAATGCAACAACCAAAAAAGGGCTCAAAGTTACTGAAGTCACAAGACACTCGGCGATTCCATCGAAATGAAATAACAGGTTCACTCCTTATTCAACAAATTATGAACTAAACAAATAAAAATCAAAACACCTCAAACACACTACTTACAATTATGAATACTTCTAACTTATGAGATTTGCCAACTCTTTCAACATAAATCGAACGACGAGTTAAAGCTCAAGCAAACCTAACTGCTATGCGAATTAAACCAACTGAGCAAGAAAACACAAAAAGAAAAACGATATAAGTATAACACAAAGAAGAACACGAGATTGAGAAGAAATCAGGGAGAGTGAAGCGAACGAGGAATACCAAAGATGAAGAAATGGATACCTCTGACAGTCATAAGAACAAGCTGGTAAACCCTTGACAACCTTCCATATAAATGATTCAAAAACAATAATTAACCGTAGTTTTATGACCGGAACAACAAATGGTTAATAACCTTTTCCAAACCCTATCACTTCGCAGACAAACTTGAAAAACCTTGAACGTGATTCGCTTTCTTTAATTTCAATCAGCACACGAACCCAATTGGTGACGATTTGGGGAGAAATGGTGGTCGATGGCTTTAAAGGAAGGGCATGGTTCATGGAAAGCTTGGGATTATGAATGGGTGCGCCGCCTCCGGTGAGACTTTCGACGGCATAGGGTTGTACATGCTTCAATTTTGATATTCGAGGAGACTCTACCACAAATTCGAAATTGACGATGCCAGGGCGAATTTGTTATTGAGAGCCGTGAGAAAGTGATGCTGAGTCGTAAAGTTATGTGATTGGATGTCTCCGCCGCCTCGGCGATTTCCCGGTGGCGGCTGGACGGTGGTAAGAGGCGAGGATGACAAACAAGTCTAGGTTTAGGGTTTGGACATTATTAGATGTAGTTGGTGAGAGTGTCGAATTTTGACCGTTGGGATGGTGGATTGTTGAAACGGCCCATGAGACTCTATGAGTGAGCTAAAACCGGTGTCGTTATTGGTCATTACCCCATTTAGGACCGGATTTTGGGTTTGGGTGCGGGCTGACCGGTCTTTGGGTGGGTTGCATGGGATCAAAATGTGGGTACTTTGGGAGGGAAAAATTCAATTCGGGACTCATGCTGAAATTGGCCCAGGATCAGCCCATTTGCTTCTACTTTACTTTTCTAATTTTTACCTTTTCTTACTTTTTTACTAAAAATTAAAATAAAATACCTAAATTAATACCCTAATTAACTTAAACACAAACCTAACTAAATCTAATGAAAATTATCACAATTTAATTAAAAACAAATTAAAGAGAAAAATTACTCAAAATCAAAATCAAAATGCAAAGGTGCCAATTAAACTATTTTTGTGATTTTCCTTTTCTATAGAACAACTAATTTACTACTTAACTCAAGAATTGTAAAATTAAATCCTACATGCAAATGCAACCTATATTTTGTGTATTTCTCATCAATTTAAACAACATAAAATGCGCAGACAAATGCAAAAATGCCACAAAATCCACAAAATTACAATCCCTGGAAAAATGATTTTGTTTTGAATTTATGGGAGTAATTCATATAGGGCAAAAATCACGTGCTCACACTTGTCACGTATTTATTTGCAACCCTTATGTGTAAAATCCTTTGTGTATCTATTTGCATTAAAGTCACAACATAGCATGGCCGGGAACCACACTAGTGGATCTTGAGGGGTGCCTAACACCTTCTCCTTGAGACAATTTCTTGCCCTTACTCGAACTCTGGTTTTCCAACTCAAAAACCCTTCTTAGTGTCCTAATGCACTCAATCATTAGGTGGCGACTCTTCAATTCCAAAAACCCAATTCCCAAACGGGAATAGAGTTGTCTTCCCGAATGTCGTAAACCCGATTTCACGAGAAAAAAGGGGCGTCGACAGATTGTTATTGAGCTTATTAGTGACCTGGGGAGATCTATGAGTTATCTTTCCGTGATGCGAGGCGTTAGGATTTGTTGGTTATAGGCACATGTGGTGCGGTTTTATTGGGGTCTCTGAGTGGAATTCGAGCGGGAAGAGTATTGGGTATTGCTCGGTGTATGGCGTATCGGTTGTGTCCTTTCGGATCTGTGTAATGTTATGTCAATTGCTTCACCGTGGTTATGATGATTTGCTTTGGTTCTAAACATCAAATTGCGCGCGGTTGTTGATTTTGAGCATAGTGACTTGAGGTGTTTCATGTTGACCAGTGTTTGGATAGGGTCGCCCATTGCAGCAAAGTCATGTGAAGGTACGACCGTTCGAGTTAGATTCGTGTGTTCTGTTTCTACGATGTGTGACGGGTTCTCAGCATTGTGTGTGGGGGTACTGGAGAGCTTGCGGTACAGCCTTCTCATTTGAGTCATTTTTCATGATTTGAGTACGTTCGGGTTGTTACTTATTGGTGCGCGGATTGCACGAGTTGTGGCTTTAGATTGTATTGATGTGTCATGTCACCAAAGTAGTCGTGTTGGATTAGATGAGATCGTTGGGATCTAGAATGAATACAAACGGATTCAGTTTCAGCATGCTGGAAGGATAATATCGATGTACGGCTCAGAAACTTGCTATGGTCCTTACCAAGGGAGAAGTGGCTTCACGAATGGTTGATCTGAGGAATGGTTATGGCTTTCTACGTGTTTCTTTTATCATTGGCAGTATATGGAAGTGTTGGAATGAGGTTTCATTTGATAAGAGGCTTATTATTGAGATTTGGATGTTTTGAGCAACTGCTGTGATTAGAAGTTATCGCTACGAGTGTTTGAGTTATGTGGTATATCATGTAATTGCATCTGAGGTTGCAGGTATGGTTTATTACAGCTTGTTCGGGCTTATTCAGAGTATAAATGTGAGATTCTAATCTTGTAGATGATTTCAGAAGTGGAAATATGGTTCTAAGGTTTATGGGCTAGGTTGGATTGCGAAATTTCAGTTACATTGTGTTATCGGACCTATATGAGATAGGGTGACGTGGGATCACCTCCAGGTATCTGCATGGTAAGGTTATACAGCGACTCGTTGGCTTTTGGAACAACTATAGGCACGTTCGAGGACGAACGTATGTTTAAATGGGGGAAGATGTAACGATCTGACCGGTCGTTTTGAGCTTTTGCACTCCACTCGCCAGTTCTCGGGCATGACTAGCCCCGTATTATGTATTTTGACTAATGTAAATCGTTGGTTTTGGATTTCGAGTTAATCGGAATAGATATGGAAGGATGATTCTCAGCTAGAAGCTTAAAGTTTGAAAGATTTGACCAAGTTTTGACTTGTTGGTATATGATCTCGGATTGGAATTTTTATGATTTGGTTAGCTCCGTTAGATGATTTGGGACTTAGGAGCGTGATCGGAATGTGTTTTGGAGGTCCGGAGTAGATTTAGGCTTGAATTGGCGAAATTGGAATTTTGGCGATTTCCGGTTGATAGGTGAGATTTTGACATAGGGGTCGGAATGGAATTCCGGAAGTTGAAGTAGGTCCGTTGAGTCATTTGTGACGTGTGTGCAAAATTTCAGGTCATTCGGACGAGGTTTGATAGACTTTTTGATCTAAAGTGGAATTTGGAAGCATTTGGAATTCCTAGGCTTGAATCCGATGTGATCTTGGTGTTTTGATGTTGTTTTGAGCGTTCCGAAGGTTGGAACAAGTTTGAATGATGATATGGGATATGTTGGCATATTTGGTTGAGGTCCCGAGGGCCTCGGGTGAGTTTCGGGTGGTTAAACGGATCAAATCTTGTTTGGAGAAGTTGCAGATTTTTTGTTGTGTGTGTTGTAGAACTTTGGCCTTCGCGTTCGCGAGAGGGCTCTCGCGTTCACGAAGGGATGGGTAATGAGGCTGGAAATTTGGCCTTCGTGTTCGTGATGTTGATCCTGCGTTAGCGAAGGGTTTGGTCCAGTGTTCACCGCGAACGCGATGTGTCTCCCGCGTTCGCGTAGAGTAAATGGGAGCAGCTGGGTCCAGGTTCGATTGTGCTTCGCGTTCGCGAGCTAGGAGACGCATTCGCGATGGTCTGGGAAGCTGAAGCTTCGCGTTCGCGTGCTAGAGGTCGTGTTCGCGTAAGAGGATTTTTGGTCAACGGAATTTTGTGCTTCGCGAACGCGAGGTTTTGACCGTGTTCGCGAAGAAGGAAGTGAAATCGCTGGGCAGAATGTTTAAAAGGCCATTTTCGCGACTTTTGGCCTAAGTTCACCATTTTTGACTCGGTTTTGGAGCTCGTTGAGGGAGATTGAAGAGGGAATCAAAGAGAACTTCTTGGAGGTAAGAATTTCGGACTTAATATTGATCCTATGTTGATTCTTACTTGTTTAAACATGATATATATGGAATTTAAAGCCTAAAATTGGGGAATTAGGGCTTGAATTTTGAGTGTAAATTGAGGATTTGAGGGGCCATTTGAGGTCCAATTTTGATGTTCTTGGTATGTACGAACTCGTGAGAGGGTAAGGATACAATTGGTGTGATTTTATCGGATTCCGAGACGTGGGCCCAGGGGCAGGGTTTGGCCAATTTCGGGATTTTTGATATAAATTGGATATTTTCGAATGGGCTTTGTTCCCTTAGCATATTTTGATGGCATAAACCTGTTTTTGGATAGATTTGGAGCATCCGGAGGCCGATTCAAGAGGCAAAGGAATCGCGGGCTAGAGTTTGGACCTGATTGAGGTAAGTAATGATTGTAAATACGGTTCTGAGGGTATGAAACCCCGAATTTCACATCGTTGTGCTACTTGAGGTGACGCACACGCTAGATGACGAGCGTGGGGTCGTGCACCGTTGGGGGATTGTGACTTGGTCCATCCCGTACAACTATTAAGTCGCATATTTTACTCGAAAACTATTTGATATTGTTATATTTTGGAAAATATTATTGTGTTTGGGGCTAAATGCCATGTCTAGTCCTTGTGCCGATTGTTTGGACCCTTAGGGGCTTTTACTACTGTTTCACCTTACTGTTTTGGCTTAATGTTTACGCTCAATCATGCTATGTTCTTACTGTTTTCATAACTCAGTTTTATTCACTCCTTTTGATTTCATAAATGATTTTGAGCTGAGTACTTGTTTTACTGTCATCCCGAGGGGCTTGAGTGAGATCTGACTGAGTGAGGCCGAGGCCCTGTGTTGTGAGGATACTATGGGATCGAGCTGTGCGCCGCAGCATGTGGTACCGATTATAATATATGAGAGGCCGAGGGCCTGTGTTGTGAGGATACTATGGGATCGGGCTGCGCGCCGCAGCATGTGGTACCGGATTGTGATATATGAGAGGCCGAGGGCCTGATTTATTATGCCACGATGTGGCTTATGATTGATATGAGGCCGAGATCCTGTTTGATTATGCCACGAGATGGCTTGATATTGTGTTTGGGTCGTAAGGGGCCCCTCCCGGAGTCTGTACACCCCCAGTGAGCGCGGGTACCCAGTGTGTGTGATGTGTTGTAGCCCGAGGGACTGTTGTTGTTCATATTAAAGCCCGAGGGGTTGTTCTTGATCTATGTTGCCCGAGGGGCGGTTCTTGATTCATGTTATGCCCGAGGGGCTGATTACAAGTGATTGTGAGGTAACCCGAGGGGCTGGTTCTGTTGATATTATGCCCGAGGGGCGGTTTATGGTACATGTTTTGCCCGAGGGGCTGTTTACGTTTCTATCATTTTTACTCACTATTTTTATCACTCGTTTGAAACTATTGAAAGTTGTTTTAAAAAGGTTTTTACTGAAATTGAGCATGATTTACGAAGTAAATGATTTCTGTACTGTTTTGGAAATGTATTGCATTTGCTGTAGCGTTATGACGTGGCTTTCGTGTTTTCTTATTGCTCAGCTTTCATTTACTTTTAGTACTTACTGAGTTGGCGTACTCACACTACTCCATGCACCTTGTGTGCAGATTCAGGTATTATTTTGAACCCGGTAGCGGGTGTTGATTGCTCAGTGGCAGAGTCATCGGAGTTAGCAAGGTAGCTGCCCGGCGTTCACAGCACTGTTTTTCTCCCTCTTGTCTTCCTTAGACTGTATTTAGTACATTTTTAGACTCTTAGTTGTATTCAGACCTTAGTAGATGCTCGTGACTTGTGACACCCCGATGTCGGGCTTGTGTATTTATTCCGCACTGTTCTTTTAGACTTACATTACGATATATATATATATATATATATATATATATATATATATCTGATTAATTAAAGGCTTAAAAGTGATTGTTATTGATTAAATGGGTAATTCAGAAGTTGTGTCGGCTGGTCTAGTTTCACGATAGGCGCCATCACGACCGGGTCAGTTTTAGGGTCGTGACAATAGCGCATTAAAAACATGCGCTATATATAAAAATGTCATCAATTATTTTTTGCACTTATTTTTGTCTCTTGAGTCCAAATGAAAATATTTGGTTCTAGACTCCAAGTGTGTCATAATCATATCTCATGCCTCTATTTATACTAGTATATAGAGGCTTACAAAAAAAAGTTGCTTTAAACATGGCATTAACCATTGGGATCATGGAAAAAGATCATGGAAGAGGGTATAGAGGTGTTGGAGGTATAAGCATAAAAGTAAGGGATAGTAGGGGTTAATTACATCATGAAAAAGAGTAGTAGGAGTAGTGGACATTCATAGTAAATACCATAATTTAGAAAAATATTTGATTTTAACTAAATACAACAACAACAACAACAATAACAACAACAACAACAATAATAAACCCAGTAGTTTCCCACAAGTGTGGTTTGGGGAGGGTAAGATGTACTCAGCCTTACCCCTACCCCTTGAAGGACAGAGAGGTTATTTCTGATAAACCCTCGGCTAGAGAACTTTTATAGATAAACTTTTATAGACCCTCGATTTTAACTAAATAATTATAGATAAACTTTTATCTTTATAATCTTGGCTTTTAAAAAAGGCAGAATAACCTAAATGGCACCTGTACTTCGCCCACTTTGTCATGCCGGTCCCCAAAGTTAGACATTTGTCAACTGAACACTTATACTCATTCAAAACATGAATAATAAACGCTTATCCAACGTGGCTTATCCTATGTGGCTTCAGTGCGTGATTCGCACGCTTGTAAGGGGCGTGAAGATATTTAAAAAAGCCCTAAAGGTAATAAATTAGCCTATTTAACAACCATCTTCTTCTTTCTACCTTATTCTCCATTGTTGAACAATATAGAAGCTAAATTTAGCAAATCCGATGCCTTCTTCTTTGTTTGTTAGCTTCAACAGTGAAAAAATAGAATTTTATTTTCCTGTGATTCTTCGTTGCCCATCAATTTTTGCCATCTCCTTTTGTTTTGAAAGTCGATTTTTTCTGCTTCTCCTCCAACAAATAAGCTACTGCCGCCATTCCAATTCAAACCTCCATTAGAAAATTGTCGCAGCTGTAATGTGCAAAGTTTCCAGATCTAGGTAATCTCTAACAACATCCAGAATCAATTTCAAGCCCACATATCCTCATTAATACACTTAAGCACTGGTGATAATAATCTGCAGGGATTAATCCCCGCTACAATTGGTTCACTTTCTAGTTTACAAGTAATTTCGCTATCGCAAAATCAACTATCTGGGGTGGTCCCTGCATTATTTTTCTGTAATGGGTCATCTGTCAATGCTCCTCATGCTATTAGGATCATTGAGTTTAGATTGGCTAACAATACCTTAACTGGTGAAGTTCCTGAGAGTATAATGAATCTTGCTTCATTGGGGATACTTGACCTTGGTGGGAATAGGTTTTCTGGTTTGATTCCAAAGTTTTTGGGTAATTTGACAAGCTTGAGAATGTTGTCTCTTAGTGGGAGTAATTTTCAGCAAGTTTGGGGAGTCTTTATCAGCCAGTTTGGTAATCGAGAAAGAACTGAAGTCGGAAAGTGAAGAATAACCTCATCAGAGAAATCGCAGGAGAGAAGAGAGGAGACACTCACTATTGTTCGATACTATCTAAGCCCTAACTACGCGGTTAATTATAAAATAAGGGGCAATGTGGGTTTGGGGATTAAATAATCTTGGGCCGATTTTTAATCCTATTTGGCCATGGTGTGTGACTTGGAGCCTGCGTGGTCTTCTAATTATTGATGTGGCGTCCTACGTGTATGCGATTGTCATACACGCACTGGCAGCTACGTTGGATAAGCGTTTATTATTCACGTTTTGAATGAGTATAAGTGTTCAGTTGGCAAATGTCTAACTTTGGAGACCGGCATGACAAGATGGATGAAGTACAGGTGCAATTTAGGCTATTCTGCCTTTAAAAAAACATAGACAGGAGTTTTGGAAAAAGAAAAATGTGCTGTTTTGTTAGTTTTATCCCAGGATAGTTATCCCATATCGAGTGTGATATAAAAAAAATGATATAAATAATTCTGAGATTGCTAATTCTGAAATTAAAAAATTATATCAAACATAGGATAAGAGAGTTTCATTTGTAAGTTCAGAATTATAATCCCTTATCCTTGTAAATAAACGATCCCTAAGTGAACCCAAAAGCCATTATAAACCTACTTTTTAAGAAAACGGAAATTTTGAAAAATCTCACAGAATTAGCATTTTAAATAAAGGTATACTAGTAATTAATAGAAGTAATATATTTGGGTTATTTGCATTTTGCATCCCTAATATTTACACTATTTTCCAATTTGCACCATATCCTCTTCTGCATTTTCTTTTATTTATTTCGCTATTTCTATTTTACTTCTTACAAAATAAACATTTCTGTAATTGTGCCACGAAATAAATAAACTAAGAGACAAATCACAAAAAATAAGAGGACGCCGACATGAAAGTCAAAACATGATGCATATGTTAAAGGTGCGAAATGTACAGAAGTCAATAAATTTATGTATTTCTCTCTTGATCTGTCTTTTATTCTATTTTAGAAGACTTTCTATAAAAGAATCTTTTTGTAATTTCTCCAAAAATCGATGTTTCAAGTAACATTCACAATTGAATGGATATTCACGGCTGAAAAATCAACCAAAATAAAAATGAATGCGTGAAAAAAAATGAAAGCATGTAAAAATACCTATGTCTAGATATTCTTTGAGTTTAAATTATGTACACTAACTGTAAAGAATATTGACATTATCAATAAAATTGAATTGATTATAAGTCATTCTTCTATTTTTAAAAGTTAACCAATCATGATTGATATGTAAAGTTATAACATGATAGTATTCCTTTTTTTTTTCCATAAAATTTACGTGGTGAGGTGGTGCATTCCTTCAATTTCATACCCAAAAACATTACAGAACAACATAGGAAGCGTCAAAACTTCAGAAAAATTTATTATTCTACAATTTATGCCTTATTGAGATTATTTGTATTCTATCCAACCTGTAGGGGGGAATAATGCTTGATTTGGACTTGTTAATTAATTTGAATTTGCACCTGGTATCCCTTTTAAGGGTTGGTATTTAAGTTTCGTTCTCATATATAAGATAACTTCTTGGCTAGTTCAAAGTTATTTTGCCCCACCTCGGCATAACTTTGAGCAAGTTATGCAGGGGAAATTACGCTCCTTGTCACTTGGCCTAACAGTCCATCAAAAAATGGCCCACATTTGAAGCCCTTACCTGATATAGCCCAGGTTGTATATAATCTGGAAAAAAAATTCACCAGTTAGCCCACCCTATTTTTTTCTTTTCTTCGTTCTTCTTCTTCTTCCTCTTTCACGACTTTGCACCCCAAAGTTTCTCTACCATTATATATATTCTTCAATTCTCCTTCCATATTCAAAGTTGATAATCACTATTAAGATGAGAAGAAAAAATACCACTTAAGAGAATTACTATTTTGGAGTCATCATTAAAGGTCATTCGAAGCTTCAATTTCAAAATTGGATTTTTCGATTTTGTTAGTTGTTTGGATTGGGTGTTGGCCCAATTGATTGGGATCGTCAAGGGGAGTTCAAAACTCAAATTTGAAGTGATTTGGAGCAGATTTGAGGTAGATTTGAGTTGAATTTCAGAAGATGCCCAAAGAAGAAGAAGAACCAGTGAAGCTCCATTAATATGATTCATTTGTATAATAGTGTATAATAGTGTATAATATTGTATAAGTAACATATAATAGTGTATAAACATCTCTTATACATTATTTTATACAAGGCTGATACATTTCTTATTCCTCCTCCTCCTCCTCATCCTCTTCATTTTTATACACTTTTATACAACTATATATATAATATACCTCTTTGTATAAAAGTGTATAATATTGTATAAAAGTGTATAAGCATTTCTGACGAATTTTTTGTACGATTTTCACTTGTAATTTTTGATATTTGGATCCTGTAAATAATGTATCAGCCTTGTATAAGTGAATCTGTTTCTCTTTGCAAAGTATACTTGATGTAGTTGTGCAGAATGCAGATAAGTACTGTGGATTTTCTCAATTGTATTTGATGTAGTTGTCTTGATTCATTTTTGTTGTTTGAGCTGTTTTCTGACTTCTGACCATAATGTGTAATGTCCTTTTATCTTATAGGTTAAAATCTGATGCGAGAAATCGCTCTCTGCAATAATTATTGAATGAGCATATTGCTTCCATATGGATGAGCATCTAGACTTTAATGCAATGCTATTGGATTAATGCAGATCTTAGTATAAGTTGGACGACCTTATTTGGACAGGGTATCCCTTTTAAGTTTGGATCGTATTTCTAGCAGTGAAGGAAGACAGTGTTGAATTTTTTTTTGCCTTGGATAAAGAAAAGACATATTAAGGATGAGGCAATGACCTTTATATCTTAGCTAAGAATGGAGATTTCAATAGGTGAAGAAGGTAAGCTGAGAAAGCTATCAGGATGTTCATAACCTCCATTAAATATTTTTGACCTGTGTATGGAAGGGTTTGTTGAATCCGCCCTTTTCCTACCCACACACCCAGATTGTATCGTGCAGGATGCTTTGGAGTTCTGAAAAGTTTTATCGGAAGGCATCTCTAAGTGGGCTAAAAAAATTCAGATCTAAGCTTATTGATATTTGGTTACACATTTGCAAACTTGTAAGTGGGCTAAAATAATGCAAGGTCAACTTATGGAGTGCATTATTATGTAATTTTGTCATTATTTATTATTTTTGCAAAACTTAAATAAGGACAACAGTCAAATAGCAACCTGAACTAATCTTATTTGTGCAAATCTTCTGTTAATTTATTCCTGAGTTTTAAAAAAAAACGTGGCAAATGGTTTGTCCTAGCCAGCCCATGCCGACTCTGGATGGATATTATTAATATAATAATGGATAAATTAATGTAATAGCGTGTATTAGATAGAGTGTCTTAATTTGACATGAAACATCGAGGTAATTGTATTAAAAATAATTAACAAGACCAACTTCAACAACAACAACCCAGGTAAAATTTCACAAGTGGGGTCTAAGAATGGTAAAGTATACGCAGACCTTACCTCTATCCCGAGGGAGTAGAGAGGTTGTTTCCGATAGACCCTCGGCTCAAGTAGACGAAAAGAGATAATATATCAGTACCATCAACAGAAATCATAGAAATAATAACATCATTATAAGGACCAGATAATAGATGAAAAGCAATAACAATAACAAATAAATAAGGCTTGGTACTATGAAAAACGGAAGAATAGTGTGGACACAACATTAACCGCTAGTAGTTTAAGACACAATCCTATCAGACTAGCCTCACACCTGGTAGGAAGTAGAAAAATGCTCCACTATGTTCTAACCTACAACCCTAATGCTCGACCTTCACACCTTCCTATCATGGGCCATGTTCTCAAAAATCTGAAGCCAATAATACAAAGTTAAAGTTTCATTGTTTTAATAATAAGTGGAGTCTGGCGATACCTGATTGGAATTGTAAGATATTAGAAAATTATATAATTGCATGGAAGACTCTCATTTTCAGTAAAATAAACACAAAGTTTAAAACAACCTTAACGGCTAAACTAAGATAAATGGAGTATAGAATGGATGTAATCACCTTTATTAGAAATATGATATGGGGAATATTGTTTTAACTATATAATATATGTTATGATAAGCTCATGGTTCCGTGATATTGAAGCACACTTCTAGTACTTTTCTTTTGGTTTCTCATCCAGCGTTCAATAAGCACTTTAGGATTCCGACTAATCCTCATTTACACATTCGTAAAGTCTATTAAAAGGGAAAGCACTCCATACCATATTTTTTTTAAATTCTAAGGCTCGAACTCTAGACCTCTTATTGAAAATGTAGGGATTTTATTCATCTCGCACTAACCCTCAGTGATAAACTTCCACTACTTTACTTAAATGTCTCTTTGCTATCATCTTCCCTTCTCTTACAGATTTACAGCTGCTTAAATCTAAATTAAAGGACATTTTTCTTTCACTCAATAGAAGGATAGTAAAACTGTTTGACATTATCTCCTTCATTGTATCAATCACTAAATCAATCAACGTGCCTCAATACCAAGTTAAAATCAATTATATAATTTATCCATATTTATTACTCCACATTTTATTCACGTCCATTTCATTTCAAAATTAAATAATGTAACTTTAAAGGCAAATTAGGGTCCTCTAGATCTTCTACATTGCAGTATTATAAGAAAATAACAAGTAGGAGAGGGAGGAAGAGGAGGGAAAAGAAAAAGAATAGTTGAATCGCTTTGAAGTTTGCAAAGTCTCTAGTGTAAACTGATCGAGCTTTAGAGAGTAAACTAGAGAGCTTTTTTGAAGAACAATTAATTTGTACTGTCTACAATTTAGATATCAGTTCCAAGTCTCAGCTGAATAATTTCCAACTTTCCATGAGATAAAATGTCAAGCTGAACTTTGAACCAAGCACCTAAAGAGAGCTATACACATCGCTTAAACTGGCCAGTTTCATCATGAAAAAAGAATATCAAAACTTAAATCCT